TGATGAGTTCGGTTACCGTATTTGGGACTATGAAAATCGGAAGATCATCCGAAACAAAGGAATTTGTTGAGTTCGAGGAGATTTCTGGAAATGATGTTCAGATCATCCTGAAACAGTTCAAGAAGAACCAGGACACCAGAACTGAGACGCTCCTCCATAATTCCTAAACCAACCCAACGGTATTCTCCTTCTTTGCACTACTTTTGTGACTACAATGGTGAACCAAGTCCTATGATGAAGCTATGCAAGTGGAGGATTCAGTCAAGTGGGAGTCTTCCATGAAAGATTAGATGGACTCGCTTATGTCAAATCAGACATGGGAATTAGCTGAATTACCACCAGGTAAAAAGCGCTCCATAACAAGTGGATCTACAGGATCAAAGAAGAGCACGATGGGAGCAAACGCAACAAAGCAAGATTGGTGTCAAAGGTTTTCAGCAAAGGAAGGTATTGACTACAATGAAATTTTCTCTCCAGTTGTAAAACTGTCTACAATCAGACTGGTTGAAAATTGTAGCTGCAGAAAATTTACATCTTGAGCAGTTAGATGTAAAGACAGCTTTCCTTCATGGTGATTTGGAGGAAGAAATCTATATGAGGCCGAAGGCTTCATAAGAGCAGGCAAGAAAAACTGGTATGTAGGTTGAAGAAGATCTTGTATGGTTTAAAACAAGCTCCTAGACAGTGGTACAAGAAGTTCGATAGCTTCATGAGTAGCAGTGATTTTACCAGATGCCAAGCAGATCATTTTTGCTACATCAAGAGGTTCGACAACAACTTCATTATTTTATTGTTGTATGTTGATGACATGCTCATTGCAGGCTCAGACATGCAAGAGATTATAAACTTAAAGCAAAAATTATCGAAGCAGTTTGCTATGAAGGATCTGGGTGCTGCAAAGCAGATTCTTGGGATGAGGATCAAGAGAGACAAAGTCGGGGACTTTGATGTTATCATAGGCTGAGTACACAACAAAGTACTCTCCAGGTTCAACATGCAAGATGCTAAACCAGTAAGTACACCTTTAGGTGTTCATTTCAGACTCTCCAAAGAACAGTCACCAAAGACGGAGGAAGAACGTGCACACATGGTGAAGTTGTCGTACGCCTCAGCAATTGGAAGTCCGATGTATGTCATGGTTTGTACCAGACCAGATATTGCTCATGCAGTGGGAGCTGTTAGCAGGTACATGAATAATCCGGGCAAAGTACACTTGGAAGCAGTCAAATGGATCCTCAGATATCTGCGGGGTACTACAAACAAAGCACTTTGTTTCAAAGGTGGAGATACGATACTGACAAGCTATGTAGATGCTGACTTAGCCGGAAATATTGACATCAGAAGGAGCACTACAGGGTATATCTATACTCTAGGAGGTACTACAGTGAGTTGGGTTTCTCAACTACAGAAGATAGTTGCTCTCTCCACAACTGAAGCAGAATATGTCGCTGTTACAGATGCCAGCAAGGAGATGGTTTGGCTCCAAAGTTTCTTGGAAGAGTTAGGCAAGAAACAAGAGAACAATGTCTTGTACTGCAATAGTCAAAGTGTTATACATCTAGCAAAGAATTCGTCTTTTCATTCCAGAACGAAGCACATACAATTGAGATATCATTTTATCCGGTCTCTTCTGGAAGATGGGATTTTGAAACTTGAAAAGATTAGTGGAGCTCAAAATCCAGCAGACATGTTAACAAAGACGGTGACTACGGACAAACTGAAGTTATGTTCAGCTTCAGTTGGCATGCTAGAGTAACAAGACCAGAAATGTTGTTGCATTGATCGAGGTGTGAAGAAAGATTAAAATCAGTCTTCAAGTGGGAGATTGTTGAGAGTAAAGTCAATAAAAGGGGCGTCACCACACAATGGGAATTCAACAAAGGGCCAAAGATTCAAAAAGTCAGGAAAGTCTGCTATTTTTCGGTGATTAATTGCACCGATTTCGGTGGCTGTGTTTTGTTGATTTTTTGGAGATGTGTAAATTACACTTTAACCATTGCTCTTTAGGGTATTTTCAAAGATTAGTCCTTAAGCTTCAACTATAAATACCCTAGCTCATTTAGCTTCAAAATCATCCCAAAATCTCAAATCATTTCTTTCTCCCAATACTAGAGAGTTTTCTTGTGAGTAGTGAGTGTTTTGTAAACACCTGTAAATTTTCTCTCTTAGTAAAAGATCCGCAGCAGTCCGGAGACGTAAGCAAATTGGCTGAACTCCGTTATCAATTTTTGGGTATTATTTTTTCGCTTTTATTTCGAATTCTCACTAATCTGGTTATAGGGAAATTACTCGTACTCGGTTTATTTCCTAACACAATATACTATTTATATCTTTTATGTTTTAAACTATTTGTATTTGATACACATGTTTAATTATATATACGAAAATGATCTAAGTCGATACGTGGTCTTTGATATATAAATTTTAATTATTTGATTTGATAATATATCAATCAATAGGTTAATATTTAGTTCAGACGACCGCTATTTTTTTTTTAAAAAATGATGAGTTTAGAATATATAAATAGTTATATGATCATTTTATAACTTTTAATAATTATATACTCAACAAAACAACGTGATCGACCATTTTATAACATTTTATAACTTTTAATGTGATAAGCCAGGAATTAACGGATGAAGTATTTGCTCAAAGCAAGAACCTCTTTCATTTGCCATTAAATGAGAAAATGGAACTTTTGAGGAACGAGAAACACAGAGGATACACTCCAGTGCTTGATGAGCTTCTTGACCCTGATAATCAAGTTCATGGTCAGCAAACCCTTTCTTCTTAGTGATTACATTATTTTGGAACTGTAATTTTTGCTTTACCTTTCATATTTGATCATTTCTGAAATGGTTTAACTGAAGTATTGAGCTTCTTCTTTTTTTCACTGCTGGAGCAGTAGGTGACTACAAAGAGGGGTATTACATAGGCGTGGAAGTACCCGAAGATGATCCCGACGCGGAGAAGCCGTTTTACGGGCCAAATGTTTGGCCTGAAGATGGTAAGCGATATCGGACTTTGTAGATTGCTTATCTTGCAAGATCTGGTTTAAAGAAATTTTCGTCAATGTTTTTGAAACCTTTGGCTTTGGTTAGGTGTTTTGCCTGGATGGAGGCAGACTATGGAAAAAATTCCATCATGAGACATTGTAAGTTACATAGCTAGTATGTGATAAAGTCGTGTGAAGAATATAGGCCAATGAGATTTTGTTTTTGTTCATCATGTGCAATTAGGGAGGTGGCTAAAGCTGTTGCAAGGATCATAGCGCTTGCACTCGGCTGCCTCGAGGTTGAATTTTTTAATAAGCCTGAGATGTTTGGGAAGCCTATTGCCACCTTACAGTTACTACACTACGAAGGTGGAGCAACGTGAAATGTCGTTACTTTCATTTCGGTGTCTATGCACTGTCCTTGTAACTATGGTCCAAACTGCATTTAGTTACGATGAGAGCAATTGATGAATGATGAGTTTTAAGGGACATTCCGTGTTCAGCATTTGCCGAAGAACTTTAGACTCGTTTTCAGTTCTTTGATTTGTTTCTTGTAACCATGTTTCTTCTCCTTCATGACTAATTACTTGGTTTTCGGATGTGCCCAGGTCCACTTTGCACCGAGTTTTGGGGAATGGTCAGGAGCGATACTCTGTAAGTCATCGTCTCTTTCCGTATCCAATCTTTGTCATCCAAGTTTTAAGACCCTTAGCTTCCATTTCGATGATTCATAATTAAAATAAATGTCCTACGATGCCTTCATGTCATTATATCGGTTGCTACTAACTCTCGTTACTCTATCATGTTGATTCGGTATTATATTTTTCTATCGTGTTGATTCAATCGTTGATATATGTCTTATATTGATGTGGTTCTTCATTCTTAAAATACCTGAATCCAATGTATATTTGAAAACATTGATGTAATAACCTCCTATACATATCCGTGTCGGGCACATAATAACTTTAGAAGAAAACGAAGGTTTAAGCCTGTTGTTTCTGATTACAGATTGCGTACTTTGTCGAACCAAGTCACAACTGTCTCGTCGAATGCCTGCCTACTTGCAAATCAGAAGACAATCCTCCAAAGTAAGTGTACAGGATTGAAGTCCATCTTTTAACTTTCTAGACTACTCTGAGTCTTGAACTTTCTTGTTTTGTCTAAAGTGCTCTAAGATTCCTTATCTTGTTTTGCCTGACGACCAACTCTAATTGATTAGAAATGTTGCATGTATTTCTTACCCAGGTTTCCATCGATTCGTTGCGCGACGTACCTGAGCCGACGATACAAGGACACTCATGCCGAGTTAAGTGTATACGACAACCATCAAACTTGAAGTCATCTCCGATTACTTTTAGGTAATATAGGCTCATTATCAATTTCATTCTGCTAATTTCAAACATCAGAATATCCATTTTACTCGAATGATAGATACATTGTGCTTATAAATGTTATTAAATACAAATGCCATCACTCAACTTTGAATATATTCCTGTTTTGGTTACTAAACCTTAAATCTTTTTAATTTAATCACTCAGCTTTGACATAGATTTAACAACGTTTTCTTTAAATTTGAAAAATATCCCTGAATTTTTCTTTCTAAATTTTAACTTAACTTTTCAGATGACCTTGAGTTTTCAATGCTGAAGCATTTTATTCTAAATTTTAATGTTGGGAAGGGGAAGGGGAAGAGGAGAAGATGAGTAATATATTTTAATTCCACTACAAATGATAACGATTGTAGATCAAAGTTGTTTTCTTGAGTTTTCAATTGAACTTTACGAGTTTTAATTAGAAAAATCTAAACTAATAGAGTGATGGGGGATAATAAGATAAGTTTGTTAATATCTGGAGTGATGAGAAGACATTAGAAATGACAGTGTCAAAATGGAACTTTAAAAAATTGAAAGCTGTTTAGGAAGAAGATGATGAAATGAAGGGAAAAAAAGACTTCAAACAAAATATATTGAAATGACAAAAATCAGAGCGCTTTCAACTAGAGTGAAAATGGTGTAATAAGCCAACACTAACTTTTATGTTGCCTCAAATGTAACGGTGAAACAAACGAAGAGTACGAAACAAGTACAAAGTAAGCGCTTACAACTATTGGGATACATGTATATCAGTAATTTTGTTAATCAAGTCTTGCGATTGTGAATCACCCACAAAAACTGAGATCATTTTCACAAGATACGCCCCATTAGATCTACCTGCACAAATAAATGGACATTGTTACTGTTTTATTCGGCACGAACCGAGAGCGCAAGCAGTACCAACTTCTGAAGATACGTATTTGTAAACCATGAAGATTTATAGGTTAGTCTTGTAATTCGTCTGGTACATGTAACTTCTCCATGGCAGCCTGTTTAAAAAGATAAAGATCAAAAGGTGGCATGGGTGTAAAGAGCAGTGTTTCATTTCTCCTTAGGACGTAGCAATACCAAAATGAAGAAAGGAAAGATCGAATGTATGTCGATACCTTGATCGTAGCAACATCAGTTGCGGATGGTTTTAAATCCAAAGCGATTCCGAAATGAAGCATGGCTTTTTCGTGCAAGTTACGCCGCTTGTAGATTTTACCCATCAAGGCAAACACACTGCTTTCACGAGGGGCACACTCTTTCAGTTCCTCGAGAACTTCAAGAGCATCATCAAATTTCTCCAAGCTCATTAGTATATTAGCCTTTTGATACATGGGAAACGGGTTTTTTCTGTCTGCCAAAATCGCACGATCCATTATCTTCAGGGCATCCTCACTTCTCTGAAAAATGATTGCAAGAAAAATTCAAAGAACTCCCCAAGACAATACTGTTCCAGTTAAGATACAATAAACAGTACAGAAAATAGCTTGACCTTTAAGGCATGGAGAGCGGTTCCAAGAAAAGACATTATAACAGAAGATCGTGGGTTTATGTGGAAAGCTGTTCTAAAGTGATGCTCAGAAAACTCAAACTTCTCTTGACGAAGAAAGATCATTCCTAGACCATACCAGGCATTATAATGCCTTGAATCGATCTGGAGGGCATGCTGGTAGCTCTTGATTCCATTCTCAAAATCCTCTAACGCAACATACCTTGCGAATGAAGATGTAATGGCGGAACTTTTAATGAATAATGAAGTTTATAAAGAAACAAGTGTATTATTAACAAGTTCAAAATTGAGGGAAATATATCCATGGGAACATACTCATGACCACAAAGGGTGTGGACGTATGCAAATCTTGTATTCAGTTGTACAGCTCGTTGGAAAAATTTCAAAGCAGTTTCGTGGTCTTTCTGCAAGCTGTAGCAGTTTCCCATGGCACACCTGCAAGTTAATTCAAATATTAAAAACGGAACAACGATAATGGAGATAATAGAACTCTCACAATGGCAGCTTTCTAAACCCTCGACAAAACTGAAATTAAACAAGCGGGTAGGTAGAAATTAACCCCATGAAAATAACAGCTTTGAGAAACCTTGGATAGTAAAATTTATAAATTATTCAAGAAAGAGAAGGAGATTGCACTACTCAACAAGAAGTTGGATAAATCTACCATGATTGAGGAGCCAAGCGGTCAGTTGATATCAGTTCACGAGCTAGGTAACTTAACTTCATATCTTCTTTTAAATGCTGCAAGAAAATAATGACAGCATGAGGAGAAAAACATTACAAGTTTGAATGAGAACTTCAAGCAAATAATATTTCAAGCAATGTGACTTGACTCTTCAGGGATCAAGGGAACTCACATATAGAACAGTGGAGTAAACATCCATTCCTTCTAAACTGTAAGGAGACACCCGAAGGGAAAGACTAAATACCCGATCAGCTTCTAAGTAATCAACCAATTCGAAATGTGCTTTTCCAACCTGCATCAAAATTTTTTGAAATATACTTCATAGTCAATGGGATGATAACTCAGCATTAATTATCTGACACTCACGTAACACACTGCGTGTGTCTTCCGAGCATGCTCAAGTCCTTCGGTTAAGGACAATCATATTAAGAAAAACAGTATTTTAAATCAACCTACATAAAATGTGTAAAATTACAACTGCTAAAATACTGAATGCATGCTTCTATGACCTCATCAATAAAAAGACTTTAAATCACAAGTCAATGCAGCTTGATCAATCTGGTATGAGATGATCTGACATCTAGAGAGGAAGAACGAGAATCTTGCAGCAGAAGCATTACCTGGGACAGGACCCAGCTTGTATTATAATGCCTAAGTGGAAGTGTTAGAAAGGTATCTAATGCATCCTGTAGACCGAAGAATTACCAAAAGCATTAAACATCATCCCAGATGTATGAATTCAACTTCTATTTCTTCAATATAACCAAATAATTACCTGACACCTGTGCAGACATGAAAATCTGTAGCCTTCACCGAGGGTTGTTAAAAGGCTTAAAACTTCTGAAGCAGCACTTACAAGTTTTGAGCAGCTAATAAAAACCCCGCCAACTGGAACAGTTGGCTCGTCTTGGTCAAGGGATCTAACATCAACAGAAGAAGACGAACTAGAAGTTGCTGACGCCGCATTTGCACGAAAATCATCAAATGTCTCATTCCTTATTCCTAAACAACAACAGAATTGAAGTTTCTTAAAAGTAGTTAAATGGAAGAAGGGTTTATGTTTCCATTCATCAGTAGAACGATTAGCATTTTTGTTCAGTTCAATCAAAAGAAAGTCACAATAAGTTCCCAGAATGAACACACGAAACAACTTAACTTCCTTTTCATCATGCCCATAAATCATAAATCAGCAAATTACATATTCAAATTGGAATTTATTAAAGAAATAAAAAATTGAAGTGGCAGAATTCGTAGAATTAGTGATGAATAAGGAGATTTATGACCTTCTTCAATATTTCCGTTCGCCCAAGATTGAGACTTTCGAACTGTCACAGTACGAAGAGCAATAGAACTCAACTTGGCTCCAAGGTATTTAGAAGAGTTAGTTCCATTTCCAGCTACTGCCGTGGTATTTGCATTTGTGTTGGTCCCAGCGTCTCCAGCCAATCTTGTACTTCTACGGGAACCAGAATCAAAGAATAGCCTCCCAGAAATCTAAATAAAAAATATTAACAAACTAGTTGAGGTGTAGTACAAGGAAGTTTCATATTGTATACCATGCAAGTACACGGATAATAAAAAAGCACTGGTTCTGCAAACTGGAAATTGGCATGTCAAACTATCAAAAGAGAACCAAAAACTGTTTGAATGGCTCCTTGTATCGATCTTTTATTGAAAAGATTATTGCATCGTACCCAAAAACCTCTGAAGAAAATCATGTTAAAGCCCCAACTAGCAAGATTCTGTTGATTACAAAAACAACAAACGACATGGCTAGTGAATGTGCTACATGACTGAAACTAAATGGGTGGTCCTCTTTCTGGTTAAAAAAATTTAAAGCAGGTATATCTATTTGATTAACTATTATTTTATATTAGAGGGTCAAGTGTGAAATAAATGGCATGCAAATTATGATTTCAGTATTTCACCAAAGCTATAAATTCCAAGGCGTTAAAAAGAAGTATTGAATTTACAAACAATTTTACCTTTCGTAATTTTCCTTCATCGACAAACTTTCTTCGAGGGGCTTGAAAGGCAGAGTTCACAACTGACTTGGGAGAACCATCAGTATTAACCGTGTTGTGATTGGAACCATTTGGCTGCATATTTCTACACAAAAGTGGCGGTACAACTCCTGAAAACTACAGAATACATAGAAATTCATGTTGGTTGCTCCTAAATAGACATGAAAAAATAAAACAAACCAAATAACCTCACAGCGTCCACCCAAGTTAACTAACTAATCAAAACATTTAACTCTGCATACTATGTGATTCAGTAAGTTGCATCTCACATCTTACCTGTGAAGCCACTGGTGAAGGAGTATTATAAAATGATATATTTGAAGGACCACTATTTTGGGGCTGAGACACGGATATAGTTGCTCCATGATGATTACCAGGAATATCTCTGAGGTTACTGCCTTGTATGTGTTTCAGTTGTCTAGGAATGACATCTTCGGAACCAAGTTTTTGGGAAGAAACCAAACTATAATCCTCACTAGCTGCATGCAAATTTGGGGAAGCTAACCCATGATGCAAGTACTGCTTTTGAATGCAAAGAGCAGCTGCTTCCCCAAAAACCACAGTTGCTTCTTCAGCAGCACCTAATATAACCATACAAAAAGCGAAGAGAAATACTGAGTAAATACAATATCAAGTCAATCAAAAACAAAAAACAGAGAGCCATTTAAGTGGTATATTATCTATAAATCCAGTGGAACTAGAAGACAAAAATTGAAGTTAACCAATGCTTGGTTTAAAAAAGCGCGCATCAGGCGCGCCTGATGCGTGATGCGACTGTTGCGATGGTCAAAGCGCATCGGGCAGCCTGATGCGGTAGGGGGTACATAATGCGGTCTGATGCGATCCGATGCGGTATAATGCGGGCCGATGCGTTTAATAAGATTTTTTTAGGCTTTTAGTTGGACTAGTTTATGTTTCTAACTTAATTGCTGGAATGGGCTTAAAAAGCCCATATTCAATTGACCTAAATCTCTAATAAAATGTCACCTGGTTGCTGCTTTCCTCCATCGAGCTTTCCCCCCTGCTATTGAAAGATCTGTCTGCTGAGTGCTGCCATTGAAGAAACTTGAAGGTAAGTCTCAATTTTTTTTTTACATTTATCCTCGATTTTACTGTTTCTTTTCATCCCTGCCACTCGCAATAGACTTGACAAGAGGCTGCTGCTATTTTTTTCATCCCTAAGTTCTTATGTGTACTAAAACAAGTTGTTTTTTGTTGCTTAAATGAATGAACTGTTTTTACGTCCTATAGATAAGTTCTTTTTGTTGCAATAGCTTTTAGAAACATAAACAAGTTGTTTTTTGTTGCTTAAATGAATGAACTGTTTTTACGTCCTATAGATAAGTTCTTTTTGTTGCAATAGCTTTTAGTTGCAATAGCTTTTAGTTGCAAAAGCTTTTAGCTTTTAGAAACATAAACAAGTTGTTTTTTTGTTGCTTAAATGAATGAACTGTTTTTACGTCGTATGATTTTACTAAAAAAACTAAATCAAGAAGCTTTAATGCCGCAATAGCTTTAAATTGATTTTACTGAAGGTTTAGCGAAGAACTGTTTCTTTTTGTTGCTGGGGTGTGTGATTGTTTTGCTACTTGCTACTTGTTTAAGCTTTTATATGTACTAAAACAAGTTGTTTTTTGTGATTTTTAGTATGGAACCAACTCCTAGTGCTACCTCAACGGGTTCAAATACAAACACAACCAACAAATTAACTGATCCAGCTAGGAAATATTCTACGCAAGAGCCTAGCAATAGAAACAATTTTCGTTGCCATTTTTGTTCTAAAGTAGTGAAGGGTGGTGTGTATCGAATGAAATGGCATTTCATTGGTGGTTTTCCGGATGTTACTAGTTGCCGAAACTGTCCAGAGCATGTAAAGGAAGAGGTGAGGTCTTTCATGCAACAAAAAAGGTCCTATGATGGAGTCTCAAAGAAGATTCGACTATAGTGACTATGATCTTGATGAAGATGATGATTATGTTGAAGTGCAAGGGGTAGTAGCAAAATGTCTCAAAGAAAAAAGCCAAGACAAAAAGGTCCTATAGATAAGTTCTTCGCTCCTAATCCCGAAGATGTTGTCAAAGGAGGAAAAGTTGGAAAAGGAGGGAAGCAACAAACTATCAATGTCACGGTTCAAAAAGAGTTGAGGGAAAAAGTTTGTAAATATATAGCACGGTGGTTCTATGATGGAGTCGACCCGTCAAGAAATGATAAAGGAAAAAGACCCGCTCTTGTTGATGAAGATGAGATGGAGGAAGACATTGGAGTGACATGATGATGAGGGAGATGGAGACGTGCTCGGGTTTGATGATGGGGATCTTGGAGACATTTAGTTTGTGACTAGAGAAAGTTTGGAGAACTCTGTGGGGGAAGGGAAGTGGGAGCTATTGTTGATTTGTCTTTTGGTTGTTTTGATTTTCCTACGCGTACTTGTCTATTATGTTATTTAACATTTATGAAGTATTATTAAACTACTTTTGGTATTAATTGATGTATTTTTTATATATAAGTATTTACAGGGTATAAAATTAGTTCAAAAGTTTTTTTTTTGTGAAAATTAGCGCATCGGGTTCGTGATGCTAGCGCATCACGCATCACGCATCGGCTCTCGGGACACTAAACGCATCAGAGCGCATCTCGCATTTTAAAACCAAGAACCAATGAAGTATATCAGTTCACCAATATTAACTAAAAAATTAAAGAAATCAAGGATCTGGTTGACAAAATAGCATAGCACAAAAAAGAATATAGAACCACAGAGTAGTTTTAGACACACCTAATATACACAACTCCTCGTATGCAGCCCAAAATAAAGGATCTATAGACAAAGCCAGCCTAAAATGATGAATGGCGCTTTTCTTTCTATCTGTGTACCTGAAAAAGGGATGTTTCTCAATTACAGAACATGAAGATCAAAACTGTTTGACAATTGAAATATAGTCCCACCACCCAAGTAGTTAACCGAAGGAAAAGTCAATGCATAGAGGATTGAATTCGTTCATTATAGGGGAAGATTGCCCACCTCCACCCAGCCAGTAATGATATTAAGTAGAATTATATAAAAGCAAAAAAGATGGATGGACGTCAACACAAAACCATAACCATCCCTTGCATTCTATCAAGCCATCTTTGGAGAATAGTTTCTCGACAATATCAATGCAAATTTCAGAAACCCAGAGTACATTGTCTGTCCCTAAATTTTGTATAATATCTCCCAGAGTTTAAGGTGAAATAACTCAGATACCTGCAAATAAGGCCAAGAAGATAATGACTAGGTGCACCATCTGGAATCTGCAAAAATGACAAGTAACTATCAAGATATTCCCATCACAAGGTTCATGTGAAAGTCACGGACAACTAATTTGTTCAATAGGACATCAGCAATACCTCTCCACCGGGCTCATTAGCAGAACATAAAGCCGTTTCAGCTTCATTAAGTAGATCCATCTGAAAGCATGACATCGCAAACAAGTAGCGGGACTGAGTTGTTTGCATTCCTTCATATAAAGAAAAACTTCACTAATGAGCAACAAGATAAGATATTATAATTGCGGGGGAGGCTATGACTTGATATATTAAAACACCTTCAAACAATTAAAACAAGACAATGCACATACCATTTAGAATATGATATGCCGAGTAAGCTTGATTGTTCTGCAAGTAGCAAGCAGCTAGCAACTGCAAATTCACCTACATTTAAAACAAAAGTCCATAATATAGTTTGCTATTTGCAGTAAAGAACCCCACAAGCAAATTACAAGAAAATCGAATTTAGAAATTTATCAAGTTCCAATAACAAAATCTACTCTCCAGAAAACTTAAAGAACGTTCGACGCCAATTTAAGGGTAACGTGATCCTTTTTGTAGTTTACAAATTACAATAGAAATTGAAATTTGTTAAACAACCATAATCAGAAACTAGAAGCTAATGACATGAATTTAACACAGAAACCAATATTTTGGGGGGGGGGGTTAAATAAAATTAAGAAATAAATTAACCACAAAAAAAATGATTGAACCAAGCATTGGCCACAGTGGATCTTGAAAAAACCAACGAACATTTTTTCAATTTCACTCATAAACGATTGAAGAACTTAAAATTTCTTACTAAAAAGACCAGAAAAGATTTTCTTTCACCAACCAAAACAGAACAAATTCGAAAATAAAAAAAAGAGTTAAAAAATGGTTTTCTTTTCTTTTCTTTTCGAGGGTGAACGGGTGAGTTACCTCGGAAGGGAACTCGGCGCAAAGACGTTCGCAGAGGAAGATGGCATTTTTTAACATGAAATGGCGGAGACTGTTTTGAACACAGTCTGTGAGTATCGCTTCCATGGCGCTCTTTCCCCTTATTGGTTCGATTGAGAAAATTAAAATAAAGCAGAAACAACCGGAAAATGTTGAAAGAGAAATATTTTCTTGGTTTCCTTTAGGTTTCAAAATAAGATTGGCACGTGCTTTCTACTCTTCAATTTTATTTTATTTTTCAAATTCGGTTCTCAGGGATATTGTTGTGGGTTGGGTTAGCAATTCGCTTATACCGTAAACCGCCAATAATTTTCTTTTTTTTTTTTCCTCTTTGTAAGTTATAACCTTCTACCGTGTACCAAAATGATAAAAAAAATAATTAATTATTTGATCTATTGATTGAAATCCAGATCGGATACTGAAGAGGCGAAGGCACCTCCCAACCCAGTTTGCTCCATTCACAAACATCAAGATTCGAACCACTGACCTAGTATCTCATCCTACTAGACTAATCGGTTGTTGGTAAAATGACAAAATTATTAATATTACATTCAGGATTAATTTTCCAAATTAAATTAAAGAGTTTATTGATAATCTATATAAATGATATTTAAGTTGAAGTTTTGAATTTAGTTTTAGATTTTATTATTTTTTTTAAATTAAATTTTAATAACCAATTGTAGAATTAATCGTTGGAAGATTACGTTAAAGAAAAAAGAATTTGTGCTTTAAAGAGTGAATGTATGCTTTCAAACTCATTTTCATGTGTCGAATCATAAGTACGTCGCAAATATTTTATACTTTCAACTAATCTTTTCTTCAAGTTCCCTCGTAGATGAATATTGAAACTTTTGCGCAAGTTAAAGGATTCAAGTTGAGGCCTGGCCAACCATTGAGAATGGCATGAACACCATTGTCCGTGGACTTATTCTCAAAGAGTTGATGCATGAGTGTTAAGTTTAAATTAGTTTAAGAGAGGGTAAAGATATGATATAGGGATAGAGTTAGAATTAAATATCTGAAGTAATTTATTTAATTTCAAAATAACATGTATTCAGTAAAGATTTAAATCTAAAAGTTGACTAGTAAAACTTAATTTGCTCAATAATTGAAGTAAGAAGGATCAACAATTAATTAGTCTAGTAGGATGAGATATTAGATTCTTTAAGTAAAGTCAAGAATTCGAATATTGGTATTTGCAAATGGAGCAAACTAAGTTGAGAATGTTGTCTTCACCTCTGTAATATCCGTCTAGATTAATCAATTAATAGATCGAATAATAATGATTATACCAATAAAAAATTAATAATAATAATTTAAAGCGTCATTTGACAAAAAAAATATATTAAAGGAGCAAGAGTCCCTCTCAAACACTACATAGTTCTGTCCATGTCCCCATGATTTTCAGATCATATTTTGGGATGAAACAATACAAAATTTCAAGGTCCTTTGAGAATAGAAATTTCAAAACTAATACGCTTAATATTTTATTTCAAATATTATGATAGATACGAATAAGAAACATTTAAAGATTAAATTTGTGACAAAATAAGGATCTTGAATCATGCTAAATATCAAGATTTATTGAAAAGACGTTTGAGATATTCTATGTAAAAATTTAAATTTGGGCAGAAGATTGATACATGCGTTGTCATCAATCGTATTATCCGTACAACTGTAAGAAGATGCTTAATAGGAGTTTTTCTTACGTGTGATTTGATATTTTAGTCTATTGTCATGCAGACATAAGACACTTATGACAAAATACACTTTTTTAAATGTGCTTTTATCTTACCTCAAAATATACTATTTAAAAAATAATCTAACATAATTGTTAAAATAAAAAATAATTTTTAAATAAATGATATTTAGATAAAAAAAAGTCAACCAGCGTTTTTTTTAAAGGAAAACAATACTCATTAATCAACCCAAGGTATTAAGCCTACGAGTGAAAAAAGTGTCCAATTATATAAATTTGTACATCGTTCACCTCTGAATAAATAATATTAGGACAAACTAAGTTAAAAAATAGTGAAAACAAGGATATACAAGCCTATTTGGCCAAAACATCTACTACAAATTTACAAGATCGTTAAATAAGAGAAACATGAAATCTAGGACAAATTTAGAAACGTTCTTTCGCTATTCAAAGATGACAAACCAAGATAGATAAATCTCCATCATCACGGAGTAGCTCGTTCACCAAAAGAGCACAATCGAATTCAAAATGTACATTCTCCCGTCCGCCATCAAAAGTCAATGATAAAGCAGCATTAAAAAAATGAATCTCAGCTAAGCCTGTATTACAAACACCGTGCATAGCCTGTGTTAAACCACTCAAAACTCTCCCTGGTCGTCGTGAGCCACAACTCCGACAACAATATAACTAGAACTCGATTAATGGAGCCGTCCAAATTGTTTTTTACCATATCGGGAATAGGAAGACACCAATAAAAAGAGGATACAGCAGGCACCAATTCATCCAAACTAAAAACACCACCAGCACCATAAATACGACATGCGTACGAGAAGCCTTCAAAAAATCTCTATGGATAAACTAAGCATTAACAACAAAAATGCAAGTAAGTTGTAATATGTTTTTATCAATAAACGAATTACGCCTATTCCACAGGCTCTAAAGAAGTGTAGTCAAACTAGCAAATTGTTGAATGAAAGGTAACCAACGTTATTTCCTAAGAGACGGGCAATTTCGTAGTTCACTCACCCCCTGTTACAAATAGTCAAATACAAAGCTTCTCTTTGCTCAGTCTGCTCGAAATCACTCACAAACAACGGCCAAATCCTCCGGTATTATTAATCTCTCTCTCTCTCTGTCACTTCGCATTGGACTTTTTTTATCCATTATACAGATTCCTGAACTTGTTAGGGCTTGCATTTTGTATTACATTCAGTTTTAACCTTCACTCTTGTCTCTTTGTTTAGAAGCTCATTTTACAAATAAAGGTATTAGTCTTCTCACTAAATGCTGGTGGTATGTTTAAATAACGTATCTTTATTTTTCCTTGAATGGAGGACATATATCTTTCTGGAGATATCTACTTGGACTTCATTACAATTTTATTTGCAACTGTTTGCTGCAGGTTGTTTTGGGAACATTACTAGCTGCTTTGGTACCAGTAGTTGGGTTTAATGCCGTGATGACATCAGAACATTTTGCATCATTTTTGGTAAGTTTTTTCCTTCATTGTTTCCCTGAGTAGTTGGCTAGTTTTGTTATTTTCTTGTGATTGCTGCAGTTCATTTGTCTTGCAATCTCAGGTTGTCATAGCCTTTCCATTTTAAGGTATAGGAAACTATCAAGAGTCATTTATTATTGCTATCATTCATGTCATTGACTGTTCCACTTCCACTTGAGGAGCTGTTGCTGTATGACGAACTATTGTGTTTAAAATGTCGATGATATACCTGATTCGTGGAAGTGTTTGTATGCTCTAGAACAAGAGATAAATAGAAGAAATATTTTAATGTTTGAAATCTTGATAACTTAAGCAGTATTCAGATTTCCGAAATGCTACATTCCCTTTTTGCAATTCTTGGTTCATATGATGCATTTCCTTGCTACTTAATCCAATTTTGTTTTCCCATCTGCAGGTTTTCATTATTGTCCATGTTGTGGCTTTTGTGTACTATATCAAGGGGGTTCTTTCCCCCAAAATGTTTGAAGTTGCTGTGACACTAGTTGTATCTGTTGGCCTGTAAGCTTCCCTTCCCTTCTGTTTCCGTAACTTTTTCATGAAAACATGAATTGATATACTAATAGCCACTAGGAACAAACTATAATGAATATTTTGTGATTTGAACTTTCTTATTAATCAATTCAGCATACAATGTTATTATATTCCATGTGGATTTGCTTCGTAAGTTTACAGATAACAAATACAACCAAGATGCAGGACTAAATGACATCACATTGTTTCTGTTCTCAGTGCTGTGTGTTGTGCTGTGATAGCTGTTCTTATAGCATTAGTTGCTTCCAGCCCAACAAAGGGATGGAGTGGACGAAGCTTAAGTCTGCTTGACCCGTAAGTACCTAATTAATTTTAGTATATTATATGTGACTCTTTTCTGCATTATACTGCAAATTAAGTCAAGTGGCTGGAATTCTAATCAATGATTGTGCAGTTTGATACATATTACAACTGAAAATATCTTGACATATTAGTTTGGCATCGATCTAGCTTTGAGGGCCTTTTTATACTCTGCAAATTCTTAAACCCTAATTCATAGATAAGTGCCAGAAAACTATTTGATCTGTTTTGTACTTAAGTGGGTTGCCATGCAAACAGCGTATTAGTTGTTTGAGATTAGAAGTTTAATTTCTTTCAGTTTTCTTACTGCATTCCGACAGAACTTATGCAAGCAAATATATACCGATCATTGCTAGTGTCAGTGAACATCAACTACCTACTTGGCCATCTTATTTCATGGACATTAATGTTTTGTCATTCTTGGTTCCAGCTGGTACCATTGTAAATCTATAGCTTTCACAAGTATTAGCTTTTACTAGTAATTTAGAAGTTCATGTAGTATAATCAATAACTTGTCTTTCCCTTGTTTGAAGGCCTGCTTTTTGCCTTTAACGGATGCAAGCTCATTTGTCATCCTCTATATTGCAACCTCTGTATATTTATCTGGAGTAATGGTAAGAGGAATGAACACATGCAATTTCAAGTCATTATTCTGCAAGTATTAGTTCCTTTTTTATAATAGTGTAGAATCACTTGTCTACTTATAAAGGTACGGTTAATGCTTTTGCTTGCTCCAGCTGCATGCATCACATCTGGAATTTCTCTCTCCGAAGCTTTTGATGTTTTAACCGGATCAATAAAGTTTCAGCTACCTGGAGTATCAAGTGATGCTGAAGTTGATGTAAGCATGTTCTATTTATCCATACTAAGACAAGCATTTGATGAAGTCATTTAGCTACATGACTAATTTATTTGCTGCTGCCTCTGATCTTTAAGGCAGGGGAAACTAGTTCTGATACTACTGTAGCACGGAATGATGTAGTAAAGACAGAGAAACCTGAGGAGACATCAAAGGATCGACCCTCGAAGAAGATCGAGAAGAAGGAAAGGGAGCATGTGGAGAAGCCTTCTGCTAAATGCAAAGTCAAAACCAAAGCTGAGAAGAAGAGGCCTCTTGCTTTACCTTTGGAGGCATCTGCGGTTTCACTTCTCTTACTCATCATGCTGGGCGCCTTCTATGTGGTACACTGATTTTCCCTCTAATTGCTTGTGTTTACCCGTTTTCTCATTATAGAAGTTTATGTGTCACAAATAGACGGTTAAGGCTATGATATGATGTTGATCACTAACTTTTCAGTGATTGTTCTGGTTGTAGAGAAGGATTTGTTTAGTTAACTTTTTCTCTTAACTTCTGGGTGGATATATGTTTCTATGAGCGGGGTTTAGATCCTTGCACTATGTATATAAGCTCACATTGGAAGGAAGGGATAAATTGTCAGAACTAATAAAGAGACTGTTTATGCTTTTAAGTTATCTCGCTAGGTTTTAAATGCTACTGCATTCATTAAGTTCAGATTTGGTAGTGGAATTAAATAGGTTGCCAAATGCCAATGGGAGAGTTGTAAGAAATAAGAAACTGCCAATGAATGATGCAAAAAGTAAAGGTTGCTCTGTTTGAAATATATACATATATTATTTTTGTCTCAGGGGAGTGAAAACTTAGTTACCAATTCTTTCTTCTTCTTTTTTATATGAAATTTCCTTGCATGCCGGTTTCTTGCTCATTTCTTTTTTGTTTTAATTGAAAAAAGCGTAAAACGCTGTTGCATTTTTCTTTGCAGTTTCATTGTGTTTGGGCTGCAGCAGAAGCTTACTCAGCCCCCTCAATAGTTTTAACATCTCCTTTACATGATGTTCTACGTGTTTTTGATGATTTTAGATAGGCTTATGCATGGTTGCGCCACAATACAGATGTTGATGATAAAGTAAGTTCTCTACTTGGTAGCTTTTCTGGATTTCAAACATATTTTGTTTACCAGTCTATTGCGCCAGAAGTTTTAAGGATATGTTTTTGTAGAATAAATATTAATTAATGGAAAAATAATATTTCAAGCTGCGTGATCAATGTTGATATTTTGAGCATGCCATGGGTTGTCTCTGATTCCCAATTGGTGATTTTTTTGCTGTTTTATGTGTCTTTCTTATTATTACTTGAACGGGCTTGTTTTCCATGTAGCAGCTCTCTGTTGTGTAAAACGGTCTGGTTTAACAGTGTAAGTCAAATTTATGGCAGGTTGCATCATGGTGGGACTATGGTTACCAAACCACTGCTATGGTTAATCGTACTGTTATCGTTGATAATAACATAGCAACTGTTGGTACTGCGATGTCTTCTCCTGAAAAGGCAGCTTGGGAAATATTCCACTCCTTGGATGTCAAATATGTTCTTGTCGTCTTTGGAGGTATAATTCCTTTTTTGTTTACAAGAAAATACGACGCCTTAATATATTATCTTTCTGACAATTTACTTCACTTATTAGGTCTCATTGGCTACCCCAGTGATGATATTAATAAGTTCCTGTGGATGGTTCGAATCGGAGGTGGTGTTTTCCCTCATATCAAGGAACCGGATTATCTGGTAAGTTCTTTGAGCTGAAAGTGATTAAAACATTCACCCTCATTCGATCTATTCGGTCTTTCTTCCTTTTTCAAAGGATTGACACTATAACCGAAAGTTGAACAATAAAGATCCTATTTTCTCCAGGAAAATATATATATATATATATATCCTTCTTATCAAGTATGGCGAAAAACTTCCGTCCTGATTTCTTTATTTCACTCATTGTCTACAGAGAGATGGTCAATATAGAATTGATTCCCAGGCCACTCCTACCGTGCTAAATTGTCTAATGTATAAACTCTCATATTACAGGTCTGTTGGTTTACGAGTTGAGTATTCATGTGTGGTTTTTTTTTTGGTCAGTTTTGTTTCGAGCAGAAGAACTTCATCCCTTAATTTACATATCTGCAGGTTTGTTGAAACTGATGGCAAAGCCTTTGATAGAGTTAGACAGACAGAGATCGGAAAGAAATATTTTTAACGAGGAGGTTAGATGATCCTAATTTTTTTCTCTTTTTATTTAAATAGCAACTGCAGGTCATGAAACGTTTCCAAAAATATATTTTTTTAAATAACTCCACCTCGATTAATGCAATTTTTTGAGCCTAAATTCAAAATTCTTGACATGGTCTTGAAATATTCGGACAAAAATGACATTATTTTGAGTCCAGGTAGCATAGCATGATGAATGAGAATGATTAATTTCGTTCTGTTCTAGTGTTTTCCTCATAAGGTTTCTTTTTTATTTTGTTCAATTTAGGTATTCACAACGCATCATTGGACGGTTCGGATATATAAACTGAAGCCTCCAAAGAACATTATTCGAGGAAAGACGAAGAAATCAAAATCGGTACATATAATCTATAGATTATCGCAATGATCTACGATTCCACACATACAAATTATAGATTCATTTGTGTGCCGAAAGATGTGGTCCGATGTTTACCTATACCTTGTTTTATGTTTTGGCAGAAAACTAGGTCAACGAGGAGTTCAAAAAGAAGTGGAACAAAGAAGAGTCCATGGCACTAGGAAACACAATATTTATAACAATGGAGGAAAATATCTGCAATTCTATTAGAATTGTTTGTTTGCCGAAGAAGACCTTTGAGGTTTTGCTTGGTAACAAGAATGAAAAGAGCAAAGGACCAGCAGTTGATTATTCTTACCCTTCTTCATCTTTCCTGCAAAGCAAACCTGACACCGAGTTTGACTATTCCGGCAAGCTTAGGTGATTTCTCTTCGAGAAATACAAACAATACAAGTCGAAACGATTTTGCAGGCTTTACTTGATCTTTGTAGTTTGTAGCGTACCATATCAACGCATCAGTTTTCAGGGAAAGAAAAGTACAAATCAAATCTTGCATTTGCTGGTTTAGACTGCAAGTGGTAGAGTTGTTTTTGGTTGCAATCGGGTTCAAGTCAAGTTCAGGTAGAGTACGAATACCATTTGTAATAGTTTAAAACTGGCTTATTTAGATAATTTGGATTTCAAATTGTCCAAAATAAAAGTTATAATGATCATTTTATTTTAAAAGATAACAAGTTGATCCTTCAATTATGTAAGATAATGTAAAATAACAAATATAGTTCTTAATCTTTACATAATGTTATAATTTGATCTTACTAAAAAATTGTCTTTAACGTTTAAATATTACCCCATGTTCATTTTCCCCCTAAAAATTTAACCCTCGGCGATGTTATAATATGAAACCTTGATATGATTTAAGAGCATAAAATGATAAACATGTAGCTTTGACTTGATATATTCTGACAGAAATTTCATCAAATACATGAGAAACTAAGAGGGGAAATTGTTATATCCGTAAGGACATATTCATGTCTGATACACACTTGAATTCAAGTAACATCAATGTTACAAACTTCATATAAGGGTTTAAAAGAAGGTAGAAAGAGAGAGATGACTAAAACAATTCTACATTCCAGAAGCAAATTATCTTGGGTAATTCACAGGAGGTTCCAAGCTACCTACCAAAATCCCAAGGTCGATGTCTTTGTCTTCGAACTTTTTGATGAAGGGGTGACCCTGCATTAACAAAAGAAGTGGCAATCAATATAATTCCTGACAAGTTGATACTGTGATGAACTTTGACATGTTTATGTTTCTTTTTCGCAACACAATAACAATGTTCTCTAACATTACCAAATCTATTAAAAGACTTGAATTAATGGGATATCAAAATTTTAATACACAAATCGCCACGTTAAACTTACCAAGAGGTCCAAAGATGATGATCTTTCTCTGGGGTCCTTCTTTATGCTAAAAAGGGGAAGGAAACGGTCAAAAATTAGAACGCTGTTTATATGGAAAATAGCAATGTAAAGAGAGAATGGGTATCTAAATGTATCGAGGAAAAGATTGAACATGAATTGGAGAAAAAATAATATAAAAGTATGAAGTAAACAAAGAAATGAAATTAATGTAGAAGCATTTTTCATCTTCAAGAACCAGAATAAGCTTGCACATGAATGTAAAATGAAGTCCAAATATGTTGTCTCCAAAGAAAATTGTAGTATATTACTGTATACACCACTTTTTAGACAACATAAAATGAGCCTCCGAGGATAAAAATATTGGATCAATATTGGATAAACATGGAAGAGGTTGCAAGCTATGGCAACAGAATTCCATGAAACGGGCATTTACTTGATAAATGAATTTGATGAGATGATATAATATGTAGTAAGCGTTTACGTATTTACCAGGCTGATACAAATGAACAGAACTCTGGAGAGAATTGATCTGATGGAGCAGTTGGTGGAGGCTTCTCCACAATGGCCTGCAAGAGCTCATAAAAGCTAGGCCAACTTTGCTGATCTTCAGATTGCGTATACGGGAAACGTCCAATAGCACATTCAAGCACTACCATCCCCAAACTCCATATGTCACTGCTATAGTCATAAGTGCTCCCACTGATTCTCTCAGGCTACAATTAGAAACAAGATGATTAAGATTAAAATTTTATATAAAATCTTAAAGAAAATAGACAAGTTCAAAGTGAATCACAAGATGAATGACAGATCAAAGTTTTATAGAGTAATTTAAACAGCGTGGGCACTTCACATACCGACATATAGTTGTAAGTTCCAACAAATGTATCTCTCTGGCCCATCGAGCTAGCTAGCATTGCACTGACACCAAAATCAGTGATCTTCACTTCCCCTTTATGGTTTACCAATAGATTGGATGGTTTTATGTCCCTGTGTATTACATGCCTTTCGTGATGCAAATACACAAGTCCCTGTAGAACCTGAAACACAAAAAGTATATGAGTAGAAAGAACTCACATGTTTGGCTGTTGCTATAAATCTGTTTAGGTCATTCATAGAATTTCAGTTCAAAAAAAGGAAGAATACCTGCTTACACACAACTGCAAGATATGGTTCAAGAATCGTGTTAACTTGTTTGATCACATCAGCCAGAGATCCACGGTCCATGTATTCTAGCACCAGGGATATGGCCCCATTGTGGTAGAAAGAATGGTAGCAAATGACAACATGTGAACATTGTGATGCTTGGTTTATTTTTAGTTCCTGCACAATTTGTTTGCGAATTTCCTCTTGTATGTTCATTTGGATGACCTGCAGTTAATAGCAATAAATTTCTAGGAATCTGTTTTCCTTCATTTATGACCACCGTGTTGCAAGCATTTCAAAGGAAAAATTACTACCACATAATATTTAGGTCAATATTCAAGCAGATATAGTGCAGAAATAGTGAAGATGTTACCGTTTAGTAAAAATCAAACACTCATGAAGAAATGGAACATGGCTTCTACTATATGTAGATCTTCAACAAAATAAGACTACGTTTATGGTATGTCAGTCTTGAACAATTACCTTCAAGGCAAACAATCTTCCTACCCATTTGTGCCGAACAAGTTGTACTACACCACCACTTCCCTTCCCGATAACTTTAATGGTCTCGAGGTCTTCCAATGAGAATTCAAAATCAAGCTCCTTTCCATCAGAAGGCTGCTCAAAGTAACCACAAAAAAAAAATATCTTGAACCCCCAGAAAGTTGATACCAAAGGCTATAGAATAAATAACTCTATGTGAACTTGAACATGCACTGCTGTATCATAAGTAGCTACCAACATGTTGGGAGATGGGGATAACATGGATTTTTGAAGAGCTAAAGAAGGGAAAATAATTTGAAGTGTTTTACTAATCAACTGAAGAAGCAGGAAGATCTTGAACAACTAATTTTGTCCAACAATCCAAAGCTTGATGATTATTTTCGATAACATTTCTTGCCAAATACAGCAGCGCACCCTTTCAAACGTAGGTGCATTTGCAACACAATACTAAAGTACTAATACAAGAAAAAAACAATTGAGTTACAGTTTCCCATATGGGCATACCAGAAGTGAATTCCAAGAACAAAGTAATAAGAATTAAGAACCCCCTAGATTATTTAAAGAAACTTACTCGATTTTCTTTCTCCTCGGAAATAAGACGCAACCCTTTCTGATTTAGAAGCAAATCCCCATCATGAAATGTCCCACTCGCCGTCCTGAACACATTACAGTAAAGGAAAATTCAAATTCAAAATATTTCCACCGACATTTACCGGCAGAGAAAATGAGACGGAAACCACGATCATCAAGCCATAACCTTTTATTCAAAGAATCGATTTCTAGTAAATTCAAAAGCGAAACTTTGATCCAAAATCGAAGCCGGCTTGAAATATGCTTAATAAGAAACGAACTTACAAAAAAGAAGAAATCGGGGTTTCTTGAGCTGGAACAGAGAGCTTCAGTTGCTTCAATGGCTTCTTGCTCTTCATTTTCTTTCTTTTTTCTGAAAGATTTTGTTTAACTGTTCAGTTAGGGTTTTTACAGAAATAAAGAAGATAGTGTTTTCTTCTTCCTTTTTATAATGTTTTATTGAGAAAGTGAGGATGGACTCGTTATAAATTCAAACGGGCAAGACCGCGTAAAATAGTTCAATCTTTTTACGTAGTTAAATCTTAATTCAAATTTTATTATAGGTAAAATAACTATTTCGTCCCTGCTATTTATTATTTTCTGTCAGATCGATCCCTAAAGAATAAAAAACTTATATTAAATTCAGTCAATAAAGTTGTCTAAATGTATCAAATACATAAATAAAGTTGTTTAAAGGTCACATTATACGTAACTCGAATTATCGGGTCTAGACTTTATTTTTTTTAATTCGAATTAGTTTGGTCTTGAAACTCCTCCCATCACAAGTTGTAGATTATTTCCATTAAGTTTGTAATTCAAGGTAAAATATTCTTTAGACGCTGGTTTTTAGCACATATCTGGTGAGATGACAGGTAAAAATGTGCTTTGTTTTAAAAGAAATGGCTAAAACCGGTGAGTTTGATCGCGAACAATTCCCGATCGAAAAGAGAAAACGCTACCTGCATAGCGATTTATGTAAGTACAGTACAAACCACCAAGAACACTTCATTTAACCACCCAAACCAAAGTCCAACATGAGCAGAAAATACATTGTAGTATCACCATTACAAACACCGAGCATTTTGTTTCGGAAATAGGCTCCCAGCGAATATAATACTATTATTCAACTGCATCCAACCATGACACCGGGAAGTGGAGGATACAAGTTTGTATAGAAATAAAGAAGAATTGAACAAATAAGGAACACCAGCACGGATCAAAGCCCCTGATCAATGAGATAATCACCAAGCCTTTCGACAACCATGTTGCACTGGCCGGGAGTCATTGGTTCATCGTAGATTCCGATAAGCAAAGCCATATTGGACTTTTTAATAGTTATACCTCCAGGTCCCTGAAATTAAAATGGTAAAAGGATCAGAATACAGCCATGACAATAAAACTACTCTACGAGACAATGGCTGCAAAGATATGCAGTAATGGCCTCCTCCCTTCTTTCCCGGCAGTGTCTTTGTCTGAACAAATACACTCCCTACGGATCTCAGTGAATGGAGGCATAAGACAACGGCTGCATGAAAAAAAAAACCAACAACAAAAGCCAAGTGCATGCAAAAATCAACAAGAGACACAGCATCAATGTACCCATTTTTAAGTAATTAATTGGGTATTAATATCATTTGATATGCTGAAGTGCTGCATAAGTTTGAAAATGATGTTTCAGGGTTCTTCAAATAAAATTGTTACGAATGTATGGAAAAATGGCAATAAAATCACAAAATAGGAACACTCAGATTTACGTCTAAAACCCAAAACGGAAACAATCATGGGCAGGGGAGGAAATTCACTAAATGTCAAAAATAACTGTGAACCTTTCGGGCGGATAAAAACGGAATTTGGGTCATAGAGCTAGAAATTGCACTTAGAACAAAATTTTAGAATATCAAATCTACTTTGAGTACTAATAATGTAAGATGGACAGGATAGAACTAAAAACAGATGAAGAATATCACCTTCTTCCCTCGAATAACGGCTCCCTGTTCACCTTGGATTACCATGTATTTTGTGCCACCAAGGTACAATCCAGTTGGAGCAAGTGATCCAGGTTCAGCAAAGTCATTCATGATTGCATTGATTTCTTCTTGCTTGAACTGAAATTAACAAAATAAAAATATAGAAGCAATATGCATTAAATTTTACTCTTAGAAGCCATCTAAAATGAACTTTAAACTCGAAAATCTAAATAAACAGGATTAGTAGTATTCCAAACATTTCACGCTCTAATAACTTCTATCATCATTGTTAAAATCATGGTCATTTCCAGAGATCCCTTAGCATCTAAAACTACGAAAAATAAGCAAAGCCAGATATCAATACAAATTCCCAATCCATAAAAGGATAAATCAGCCAATAACTCATGCAACATGAAGTAATAAATCATAGCAAAAAGATCCCAAGTTAGAACGCCAGATTTATAATCGGCAATGAGTGAATAAATATCGATGCTTTTGGAGCAAATCAGATCAGCAAATGGAATTCAAGCTTATAGCAAACAAATCAACTTATTCATGGCATCAACCTTTTGTTTTCAGATAACTATCCCCGCAACTGGCAAGGGGTTGACGAAAACCCAAAGAGTAGGAAAAGGGTGAAGAAATAAAAGGAGAAGAAAACCTGAGGGAAATTGGAGCTCTGGGCCCAAATGCTGCCGTCGTGGCCGACGATGGCAGCGGCAGAGAGATGGTTTCCTTCAATATCGCACATCAAGAGATCATCTACATATGATTGCCACGACATCTTCTTCTTCTTCTTCGTAAACTTCTCCGGATTTTTCTCTTTTTTGAGTTTTAAAGTTAAAGAAAAAGGCTCGAAAATGTTCGACTGTAAAGACGCGAAGCTGAGCTGTGGGAGTCTGGGAGAGACACGGAGATATAGCGCTGGAACTACGGGATCTGTCGGCCTTCTATTTTTAGTCAAATCCCTATACAATGTAAAAATTATATATATATAATCCTTATACTTCAATTTTTATTATATTTAGTTTATTCACCTTTCAAATTTTGAAATTATGAATTTTTTATATAAAAACTAGGATTTTGACTTAAATAATGACAGTGAAATCTATTTAATCAAACTTCATTATTAATCCAATAGATTGTATATTTAGTTACTGTTCTCCAAAGTGTTTTCGTATCTATTGATTTTATTTAAACACAAATTTTAATCTAAAATATAAATATTATCAGTTTTCAGGGTTAGATGCGAGAAGAATTTTGACAAGATTTGAAGTTTTAGTTTTTTTTCAAATAGTCTGATGTAATTATAAAGTAGTATGTGTTTAGAATATTTTTAATTAATTGTTAATATATACATCATGCAAGCACGACTACTAAAATCCAAAACATTTATGAACAAACGACATACTCTTTTTTATACTAGTTTATGCATTAGAATAATTTTCTAGTGTTGTTTCATTCTCATTCAAAAAATAATTCTCTTTTATTATAAAAATTTGAAAACTACCCGATAAATTCAAGTTTGAATCCTAAGTTTTATGTCCATCTAACAATCAGACCAATCCCATTAGGACACATATCATCACAATATATTAATACGTGTCACTAACGGAATTTATGATGAGGGACCAAATGATTATTCTACAATTTTCTGAATTTAAGTGACTAAAGTAAAACTATTTGATAGTTAGATGATAGTTTACCGTTTATTTTATATTTGTTATATTTGAACCGTATCCATTGGGCCGAATTGTGGTCAAAGGTGTCTTTGCTCCACAATGGACACCAAGTCCATAACGAGTTCAAACCACTTTGAATACTTAACAATCTTGCCACGTCATGGGACTCCACTATATATATTTTGGGATTCTGTTACTCTATTGGTTTCAAGGATTTGTCTTGATTAATTTAAATTTAAATCGACCTGTATTGTACATATAGTTTTGATGGGTGAATCCTTCAGCAATGATTTTCTGCATACACAAGGTCTCTAACTCGAGACATAGCTTAAACAAAATCAAACTGCTTCCACTTGAACTATCTCTATTTTTTATACTAATTTATCTATTTTATCGAGTTTAAAAATATTTATATAAGAATATATTATATTGAGATTAATTTTTATCTTAAAATCCAAATTAAGCTTATATTGAATCGAAAATTATTAAATGTCGAATCCAATTAAAATCGGATATAGTTTTTTGAAGTTTTAAATTAAATTTCAATTTTATGTATTGATCTATATCCATCCCTAGATATGATCTCTTACCCTCTCTAAATACTACAGTTCACCATTTCCTTTTCACTTATCAAGCTTTTTACTTAAGTGAGCATCTCAACCCACAAATTTCGGCGTCTCTTAACTCAAATTTTCTCGTATCGTACCTCTTGAGTAAAGTTAACCAATATACTATGTACATTAAACAATATAAAGATTCACAGCTATTTCAACTTCCAAAGTGCTTTTGGGGAACAAATCATGAAATTATTGTTTTATTTAAGGGCAAATCATGAAATTATGATGGATCAGAAGGGGACAATCTCCAAGTTGGGCACTAGATATTTATTACAGTGATATGCAATCCACTGTCTGGTTAATTTCTACAATTTAAAGATGACCCATCAGGCCATCTCCATCGTTTACATCATGCAATAATAAATATATTTTTCTTCTATATTGAATGCATGACAGATGAATGAGATTAATTATAATTTTCAGATTCATTGTAAAAGCTTATTGAAAAAAATATATATTTTTTGGATGAATTGGGACATAAACCTTAAAGTTATCAGGCCAGGCAGATTCTTGGACATTGCAGCCAGTTGTTGATTGTCGCAATCAGATGGGATTTGTTAAACACGGGAATTCTTTCAAACAGGTTGAGTGCAATGAGACGAGGGAAACTTTAACGTTTATTCGTCACGGGTTTGATAATAAAATGACCACCTCGTATGAGACTAATCTCGAAACTCGAACCTTGTATCAACACTGCCAATCATGGAAATAAAAGTAAATAAAAAATTGCAAAAGAAAAGGCCATAGAAGCTAGCTGCCATCCAATATGGAAATGGAAGTTATTGCATTGTTTTGCTTTACTCATTGATTCACATGGAATTCTCCATTTCTGTTTTCTTGTAATGATTATGGGCATTGTTTGTACAACACTTACACGCCCACCAGACAGAGAAAAGAAGCATTGCACGTTAACCCACTTACAGATGAATCGTGCGTGTGCAGTTGTACTGGTTGGCCCTTAAAGCTTGAAATCTGGTGAACAGGTTGCTGTGATCTATAGTGGAAATGCTTAAACGAGAAAAAGGTTAAACAGGGGCCCCATTTTCAATCATAAAATGATGATCAGATTTGGATATTCAATTCCACCAGGATTTGCTGTAAAATAAATTTGATCTCATGTGACAGCTGTTGTGACCCCGCCATATATTGTACTACTCGGGTTTGGGTTGAGATTAATCCGAAATGTATTATCTCCCTAAATATGCTTTATTACCATTTTATTTTACATACTTGACTTAGAAGTTAGATTATCATAATTAATATAAAAGTATAAATAGGAAGAAATTGAATTGGTACCAATTAGGGATTTAAGTAATAGTATGTTATCGTAATAGTGTTTGTTATATTTGTTATCACGATAAACTCAAAGCAACTAAAAACGTGACCTCGACTGCAATTTAAATCTTTGGTATCAATAATTTTTTATATTATTAAATCAAAATTTTAAAATATTTTAATATAGAAAAAATATATGAGGCTCGTGTACTTTTTCAGAAAAAACAATGTAATCCTTGAATTATTTTCACACTCGATATGGCCTTTAATCTTTTAAAAAATAAAAAAACTAACGTGGCTCTTTGACTAACGATTTATGTCGTTGATTGTTACGGTGCTAACATTGCATTTCATAATTTTAACATGGCGATTTACTATGCCGACATGGTAATCTACGATAGCTTGTGACGTGGCAAATGATATGACAAATGAGATAAATTGATTTTAATTGAGTTCGAAGGCTAAATTGTTTTTTAAAAAAATCAAGAGCTTATTTTATGTTTAGAAAAAGTTAAAATATTTTAAATTTTAAAAAATTAAATATAAATATGATTTCAATCTCAATTTTTTTTATTCTTACCTCGAATTTAACCTGATTTTATTTATATAAACATGAACTTGTTTATCCTGCACAAATTTTATTTTATGGTAATCATATTTTTTTATTTCTAAATTTTTTAAATTTTAAATTAAATAAATATTATAAAATCGTATGAAAATAAAATTAAAAAGTTATAAAATTAAAAATTAAAATTTAAATAACATGACACTATGTAATTAAAAAAATAAGTATACAATTAAAAAGAACATTTTAGTGAATATAACATGAAATAGAGAAGTACACTTCACCTAAACATGATATCAAAAAAATTAATAGGAAAATTGCTACCCTCCCAACTTTTATTAGATACAACTCTAAAAAGTGAAGGTAGATACAAACTTCATGTGTTTGAGGTTTTTTTGTTATCATTCCTAGTATTTATTTATTTTTTAGTTTTCAAGGAATAGCAATTTTACCTATACGAAATAAAAATAAAATAAAATTCACATTAGAATCCATATCTAAATTCAATGAATCACTTAACAATAACATTTTCAATCATTATGGTTAATATATATATTTTTAATTTTTTAGTAATTTAATTTTTAATTTTAGTATTTTTATATTTATATTTTAATATTTTATATTTTAGATATTTTTTTCATAAAAATCAATTAAATTCTTAAATTTCTAAAATAATCAATTTAGTTAATCTATCACGTCATCAACCACGCCACCAATCATCATTGACTGTCACATTAGTACAATAAAATATCACATCAGTATCATAACGACCACAGACAAAAATAATTTATCAAATGATCACATTAAATTCTTTTTTTAAATTTAAAGACTACATTAAATAAAAATAATTCAAAGCTCACGTTATTATTTTTAAGGGTAAAGTATAGTAATGGTCACTGAACATTTTTGAAGCTTGCATTTAGGTCCCCCAACTTTTAAAACTTGCAATACAGTCCCCCAACATTTATTCCGTTAGTAATATGGTCCCCAACTTAAACCACCGTTAGAAATTAGGGTAAATTATATAAAAGGTTATTGAACTTTTTAGACACTTGAATTTAGGTCCCCCAACTTTTAAAACTTGCAAAATAGTCCTCAATTTCATTCTAAACCCCAATTTCCAAAGTAATTCAATTTCATTCTAAACCCTAAATTCTAAAATAATTCAATTAAATTCAATTATGTCAGATTTATTATTATTTAATTTCATCTTATTTCATGTGATACGTATTTTTTATATAAATATAATAGTATAATTCTTATCTGTTGAAGAAATTTTTTAATTAAAAAAAGTAGTTAGGATATAGAAGAGGTTGAAAATAATTCGAATTTTAAATTTATAAAATGTTATTTTGACGTATAAATAAAAGTGTAAACTACTAGGTTGACAACTTAACTATCTAGCCCTTTTTACTTTTGTCATCGATCTTTTAAATTTATCAATCATACAACATAATTATTTAACTGTTTCAACTAAGGCACTAGTCGTTAGTAATTGATACAAATGATGAAGTGGCAGTTAAAAGGAATTGACATTATTATACATTCAGTCTTTATTATTTATATAATCAATTTGGTCCTAAATTAAATAGAATTTAATAAATTAATCATTTAATTAGGATATGACATGTGTTAGCACATGATCATGACATGTGTCATTGGTGACACATGTCACCACCTAATTATTTATATATGCTATCAATTTGGTCCTAAATTAAACAAAATTTAATAAATTAATCATTTAACCATGATCTGACATATGTTAACACATGATCATGATATATGTTATTGGTGACACATGTCACCACCTAATTAGAAGAAAATAAGTTACAAAGAAGTAAAATTTGGGTCTTGGGCAAACTCAAACCTGAGTCACGCAAATGAAAGATACAGGGTGGAGCCACTAAGCTAACACCATCGTTTGTATTAAGAGATATACAATAATACATATACTAATAGTATGACCAATGCCAGAAAAAAAAGAATATAATGGAAAATGGAAATAATGAGATTTGAACTTCGGCAAAAAATTTGAAAGCAATAAATGATGGGAACATATTATATTTTTTTACAATAAAAAATATTATATTTGATAAATTGTTTGATAGATTTAATATATTTTTTAAATATTAGTTGATATAATATTTTAAAAGAATAAATTTAAGATTTATATATTTTTAAACTAAATTTAATAATTATATTTTTCATATTTATAATTCATGATTATATATATAATCTTAAGTTGAGTATTTCTAATATAATTAATAATTTTAATTTCTCATTAAAAATAAAATATTCAAAAAATATAAATGATTCATACATTAATATATGAATATATTTTTTTATTTATACATCTAAATATAAATATACATTTATATAAATATATTTTTATTCGTATATTGAAATATTTTGATTAAAATATAAACATATTTTAAATACTAGTTTATACAAGAAAAATAAAATATATCAAAAATATAAATGATTCATACATTTAAATATAAATTGAATCATTTATATTTTCTATACATCTATATTTAATAAGAAAATAAAATTATTGGGGGACTGTTTTGCAAGTTTTAAAAGTTGGGGACCTAAATTCAAGTGTTTGAAAAGTTTAATGACCGTTTATATAATTTACCCTAATTTTCTAACAGTGATTTAAGTTGGGGGACTATATTGCAAACAGAATAAATGTTGGGGACTGTATTGCAAGTTTTAAAAGTTGGGGGACCTAAATGCAAGCTTCAGAAATATTCAGTGACCATTACTATACTTTACCCTATTTTTAAACACAATAGCCTCGTAAAACTTTTTGCTTTAATGTATTATTAATTTGGGTAAACTACACGGGATATTATTAAACTATGGTCGAAAATCAATATGACTACATAACTTTCAATTGAATCAATCAGACCACCAAACTATTTAATTGATTCAATCAAACCACCGACCATTAATTTTTAACATAGGTGGTGACGTGTCAGTTAAGCTTAATTGGTATAAGTATATATTCGGTCCTTAATATTTACATATTCTATCAATTTAGTCACTGTTTTAATTCAATTAAATAAATTTAACTATCAAATTAGAACGTGAAACGTGTCAATATATGATTGGAAGGTTTTTATTTATGAATTTTAAATTATTTAATTAAATATTTTTCTATCAATTAGGTGGTGACACGTGTTACCAACCAATGGAAGTTGAAATTAAAGGGACAAAGTTGCACTCCAAGGAATTTAAACCAAGGTCACATGGGGAGATAGAGTAGGCGCCCAAACAATTGGACCAAAGGTCTCCAATAGTTTAAAGTTACAACTATTTGTATTTGTCTTTTAAAGATTTGTTAAGGATAAAAAATTAAACAAATTATTTGTTTAAACAAATTATCATTTAAATTAATTGTAAACTATTTTTTGAATTTAAAATATTCAATTTTTATATAAATTAGAAATTTTTTTAAAAAAATCGTTAATTCAAAAATTGACCGAATTTTGTTCGGTTCAGTTAATAATTTTCAAATAAATTTTGGTTAATTTGGTTCGGTTAATAATTTTCAAATTAACCGAACCAAACTAACTGAATTTTTTCTTCGATTAATTCGGTTAATAATTTTTTTAAAAAATAGATTAATTCAGTTTGGTTAATAAATTTTAAATTAATTCAGTTTGGTTAATAATTTTCAAATAAATTTTGGTTCGATTAACCGAACAAAATTAACTGAATTTTTGTTTCAATTAATTTGGTTAATAATTTTCAAAAAAAATCGGTTAATTTGGTTCGGTTAATAATTTTCAAATTAATTTGGTTCGGTTAATGATTTTCAAATAAATTTTGGTTCGATTAACCGAACCAATTTTTTTCTTTAAACGTTAATCGAACCAAAATTTATTTGAAAATTATTAGTCATGAATAATTTATTTAATTTTTTAATATTTTATTTAAACAAATAATTTATTTAATTTTTTATCTTTAACAAACCTTTAAAAGAAAATTATATATTGTTGTAACTTTAAACTATTGGGACATTTGGCCCAAAGGTTTGGCGTCTGTTCTATCCCCTGCGTGACCCTAGTTTGAATCCTTTGGAGTGTAACTTGTCCCTTTAATTTTTACTTCCATTGGATGGTGGCAGAAAAATTATTTAATTAAATAATTTAAAATTCATAAATAAAACCTTCCAATCATATATTGACATGTGTCACGTTCTAATTTGATAGTTAAATTTATTTAATTAAATTAGAATAATGACTAAATTGATAGAATATGTAAATATTAAGGACCAAATATATAATTATGCCAATTAAACTTAACGGACACATCACCATATCTGTTAAAAATTAACGGTCGGTTGTTTGATTGAATCAATTAAATAGTTTGATGGTCTGATTGATTTAATTAAATAGTTTGGTGGTCTGATTGATTCAATTAAAAGTTTGGTGGTTACATTAATTTTTTACCATAGTTTAGTGGTCTCTCGTGTAGTTTACCCTACTAATTTTATACAATCATCAAAGTAAGCTAAGCTATGAATTCTCAAGTCAAACATTCACACATGGAAAGTTACTCGTACAACTCAACAATAAAAGCTCAAAACTTTATAAGAAAGCTTTCAACAACAAACGATCAACCAATCCCCACTCTGCCCTCTCTCATCAATACCAGCAGTAACATTTTGTACAACCTGACAAGCAAACTACCAATCACTGTAACCATTCTTGGTGTCATCAAGAAAAGAAAAAAAATGGGGTGGAGTTGGCTCCTGGTTTTTATCCTTTGGCAGATGATGACTCCATCAGAATCGGCGGCCATTGCTGTGGGTGGTGGTGTTGGCATTAATATTGGCGGTGGCGGCGGTGTTTGGGTTGGTGGAGGAATCAACAACAACCCGACTCCATCTGGCCCTTCAGCGTCAAAGCTCACCAGTGCTTACACTGCTCTCCAAGCTTGGAAATCTGCCATCACTGATGATCCATTGGGTGTTTTGAAGACTTGGGATGGCTTAGATGTGTGTTCTTATAAAGGGATTTTTTGCTCAGATCAACAAGGTGGAATGGATTCATCAAATGGACCGCCCGTGGTAGCCATAGATCTCAACCATGCAAATCTTCAAGGTACTCTAGTGAAGGAACTCTCAGTCTTTTCAGATATGTCAATCTTCCATCTCAACAGCAACAGGTTTTCAGGCACAATCCCCGATACTTTTAAAGACCTTTCATCACTTCAAGAGTTAGATCTCAGTGGCAACTATTTCTCTGGTCCTTTTCCTATGGTCACTTTAAATATGCCAAATCTTGTTTATTTGGACCTTAGGTTCAACACTTTCTCAGGATCAATCCCTGAAGGTCTTTTTAACAAGGGTCTTGATGCCATCTTCCTCAACAACAACCAGTTTGAAGGTGAACTTCCTTCAAACCTGGGGAACTCACCAGCCTCCGTGATAAACTTGGCTAACAACAAATTCAATGGGAACATACCATCTAGTTTTGGGTTCATGAGTTCTAAATTGAAGGAGATTTTGCTTTTGAATAACCAGTTAACAGGCTGCATCCCTCAAGATGTTGGGATGTTCTCAGAGATGCAAGTATTTGATGTGAGCCGTAACTCACTCATGGGTCATTTGCCTGACTCCATATCTTGCTTGGGTGACATTGAGGTTCTCAATTTGGCACACAATAAACTCTCTGGAGTGCTGCCTGACATAGTTTGTTCTCTAAGGAGTCTTATGAATTTGACCGTTGCCTACAATTTCTTCTCTGGGTTTGGCCAAGAATGTTCCAAGTCTTTCTTTAGGGATGTGGGTTTCGATTACTCCGTGAATTGCATTCCAGGGAGAGACATGCAGAGACCCCAACCTGAGTGCAGTTTTATCCCTGGAAGTGGGTTGAGTTGCCTGAGAATTCCTTCTCCACAGCCTCTGGTGTGTGGAGCATTGAGTGGGAACTTGAAGCCTAATCAAACCTCTTCATCATCATCACCATGATTGTATGTTGTTGGTGCCTGTCAATTCTCCCATTCATTAATAGCAATTCATTTGTTCATGGAATCAGTTGCATCTTTCTATTACTATATTGGTGTAGGAAGTAGGAACTAAATCGAACCGATGTCACGCATGCCAGAAAGGTCCTTGTCCAGGGTCCAAATCCCTTACTTAATGCGCCAATAATGTATGGTCCAACCAGATAGTGCACACCCTCCTGACAGGAAGTCCTTGTTAGTATTTAATTATAACTGGGTAAATCCATGTTGAAAGTTTGCCAGGTTTCGAACTTCGTTCCTTTGCTCAATTCATCTGGGTTTTTTAGTTCGAGCAAATCTAATGAGAAATTCTTATTCTCTGTAAGATACCCCAACCGGGTTCCGTGAAAGGAAATTGGCGTTGAAGCCTCATTGCTATCATGCTACGGGTTTCATTTGTATCAAATCACCCCTTCGCCGTGTTGGATTCAAGATTTTTCATATTTGCATGGCGATTCTTCTATATTACTCGAGAGCACAATTGTATCTTTTATACCTTAAGGTAGAGAATTCATCCCTGTATTCTTGACAAGGTCCTCCTAATTTTTATTTTTATTTTACGTCGAGGGACACGTCAATGCAGCAGCTAAATCGAATCCCGAAATAATTAGTACAAAACAAAACTTCAAATTTGTACATCAAAACTTTTACGGTCGAAATGTATGCTAGAGTAAAGAACAGTTATTGAATTTGCTTATTATCCAAAAAAAACCTTGAATTTCTTTAGGGAAATTGATAAACAAAAGAGAATAAAAAATAAAAATGCGGGGACATTTTCCCTAATCATGATCAAAATAATGGAATTCAGCATAAAAACATACCAGTATCCCATCTTCTGCAGAAGCTATTTCAATAATCGATTGTTTGCTGGGAATGAAACAATTTTATTGTTAAAAAATGGGCACATCTTCTTGTAAAATAACTCAAAGGTATTCAGATGCATTACACTATAAAACCGGTCGGATACTCATCAAGTTCGACCCCAGAAAGCAATTTCATTATTTTCACTTGAACTTGCGGCTAACTGAGTCGTAGCTAGGGACACTAATGACTGCAAAATACAAGGGGGGAAAAGCAACAAGTTAATATCTACTATGCATTGCGGTAAGAGAACTAATTCAGGGGTTTAGTTTCGAATAAACTCCGAACTACCATTTCCATATGATGCCATTGTGAGAGGAGACGATAGAAGCTTTTGGGCCACTGAAGAAATATCCTTCAGTGTAATTTTATCGATAACCTTCAAGAAATACTCCACGGGTTTCCTGATAAGTTCAAAACAATTTTATTACAGAGAAAACAAATTATCATAGTTTTCTCATTACATATATATACCATATAAAGAAAAGGCAAATATTAATAGGCCAAAAGCTATGGTTCTCCGGCTTGGGCATGAGTGATATATAAAAGTGCATGTCCAACAAGAGCATCTTCATTTATTTTAAGGGCCTTTGTAAACCATATAGTCCCATATATTAATATACATCAATCACGGGTATCAAACACAGATACTTTATGAAAAATAAAGGGTTGAAGTAACATCACTCATCACAGCGAAGGACAATGGCTAAGAACGAAATAAGTCATACCTCTCCCCATATGTCAAGACTTGTTTCCCAATATCTTCTGAAGCAACCATCTGCAGAAACGGATTGTAAGTAAACACTAAACAATGTTTGGCGCGGAAATATGAATCCTTGATCAGCATCATTAAATTCATCTACAATCAAGAAATTAAACAGAATAGTTTACATACTCTAGATTCCAAATTCATCAAAATTGCGGATTTGGTTGACTGTTTAGCACGGTCTAGCTGTATTTGGTCAACTGTAAAGAAAACAGGAAAAGCATTTCAGAAACAATCCACTGAATAAAAATTGCAGGAAAAATACTAGTTGCGGAGTTCAAGAGCAGCCAACCTTGTCCAGGTGTTGCGACAGCAATAAGCTCCTTAACAGCTACATCAACAGCAGTTGGTGCAAAATCATAACCCTGAATTCAAAAACATCAGCAACATCCTATGGAAAAGATATAATCAGCAGAACATGTCTATACAATTTGCAAATCTGGAATAAATTCAGTGAAAGGCCGAGAAAGGGGAAAAAGAAACAGTCAAGGGAAACTGTAAGTATCAAATATACAACAGTGGTTACACTAAGAGAACATTCAAATGCAAATTACAAGCACTGACAAAATAGAAGTCTAGCATGAAAAACAGCAATAAAAGACTTGGATGTGAGATTACCACCCAAACAGAACACTGTAACAATTAAATGTAGCCATAAGGAGAAAGCTCCAGCATGAAAAAGTTCAGCAGAATCATGACTAATTGTAAAAAGGCAAAACACTTGAGAAAAACTTGTTAGAACTTAAACCGATTCCATAAAAAATCCTTGGCTACATGACCCTCCCTTGGCAATCATGAGACCTTTACTATCCAAGAACTTTCCTAATTAAATTTGATTCCATCAAAATAAAAATGAACACCAAAACCACACTGTCCAATAATACAATCAAACCTGATCTAAAGACATAATTTTCCAATGATTTTGACCAAAGCTTGCGTCTTGAACATCTCTAATGCCAAAGAAGAGCAAGAAAAAGAAAATAAAAAAAGATAAGAGAACAGTAGATGTTGGGAACAAAACCTTTCCAACAGATAAAAAGCTCCAATAAATCAGTGAACATTGCGAAAACCAATAAAATAACGTTATAATGATGTCAACTTGAGCTTTTGCTATTGGAAAATATAAAGGGCACGGAAGATAGAGGAAAGAATAGAGAACTGTAATGGAATTAATAATGGAAGATTTAAGAGCAGGCTTACAGTGGTGGCTTGTATTCCAAATATACTGGTATGATTATAAATGCTGTTGAATGCTGAAAAAGACTGAACCTGTGGACACTCGCTCAAGACACAGACATCTGCTCATAACATAACCAAAATATTTTCATGCCAGCACAAACAAATTGACGACTAAAATAAAAGAAACCAAGTGTCTCATAGGAGGAAGGGAAAAAAACAAAAAAACTAAATTTTATCTATGGTACTCTATTAAAACCAAAAGATAACAGTGTGTGTCACTAAAGATAAACTTACATAGTCTTGAATACATTCCTTTCCCAGGGCCACCAGCTGAAAATGATCCACCCCCTCCCATCAGAATCTATAGAATAATTAGATCAATCATTTTACTATCTTGAGATTATGATAGCAAGTAGGGAGAACTAAAAAGATACAATGAAAAAATAATTGTGCAAGATAGGATAATCCCAGAAAGAAGTTAATAGACTATATTTAAAATTAAAAGGTGGAACAAGAACATTGAGAAGACAGATAAATTCAATGTTGAATACCTGAAGAACAGTCAAAATTATAGCTTCCTTCGCCTTGTGCCAACCACCAGGTAGTTCAAATGCAAGAGCAAAATGAGTTTGATCCTACAGTTGAAAACCATTAGCAACTCAAGACGGGAGACTAAAATGTCAATTTATGCAGTTATGATACATACCCCTAAATCAGCCTGACAGCGATAATCACCTCCAGTGTACACAGTTTTTGGCTCTTGGGGACGAGGAATATTGGAAAGGTCTGATAGAAGTGGTTCAGCAACGGATAACAGTTCCTCATGTTCAACACCAGATGCTGCCAGAACCATCCGGGGAGCAGTGAAGTTTTCCTAATATTTTCATCAGAAACCAAATTTTTCAGTGAGAAGGTCATACAAAGATCAGCTGCAATCTCAACTACAATGATACAATTAGCAGTGACAAGTGAAAGCATACTAAACAAAGTTTTCTTCATAACTATAATGATACAGTTAGCACTGAAAGCATAGTAAATAAATTCATTGACTCACCAGAACAAAATCCTCTAAAATTGTACTATCCAATGCATTTATTGCAGACTCAGGGGCTAAACGGGGATTTGCCAATGCACCAGAATAACCAGCCGAGTGAATGGCCTCCAAAAGCATGCCATGAGGATTCTTCGCAGCTTCAGCAATTTCCTCTTTCATTTTTTGAAGCTGCAGACCGTGAAATATTGAATTATCATCTCACAAGGGATTCAACCTAAAATAGTTAAGAACTATTTGGCCTAAAAACACCAAGCTTAAGACATCTACCTGTTCATTCACCTCCCAATCCAAGAAAGCTGGGTTTCTCACACAGTCAATAAGCAGCTCTACCATTCAGGAACATAAGTCTTCAAGCATCAAAGGTATATCCAATCTGCTCCCGAGAAACTGCAGCTTGCACATTGCCACCAATTGCCTCTACTTCCCGGACAATCCGCAAATGGCTACGGTTTGTTGTGCTTTTGAAGGCCATACGCTCAAGCAGGTGTGAGACCCCAAATGAGGCAGGTGACTCATAAATTGACCCACAGTCGACATATAATCCTATTGATGCAGCAGGATTCTGCTTGGCAACGATGAGCTATAAAATTAATCTTCTAAAAGAAAATACCTTATATAAGAAAATATTCTTCATAAGAAGCATCTCCATACATACCTCAGAGGTTTCTGAAGCAATTTTAAGGCCATTTGGGAGAGTTGTAATCTTAGTTTTACCAGGTTCAACAAAGTCAGGCAATGAAGATGGTAGTGCAACACCTGTAGAGGAAATCTAGTGGTGGTATGGACTTGGACTGACCCCCGGTGAACCAATTACGGAGGCCACCTGAGGAGGAGGATGTTGTAGCAGCAGCAATTGAACTTGAAAACCTTGCAGGTACTCCGCGGCATGTGCGACCCTACATTCACATTTTCAATAAAAACATATCACATTTCCAGGAATAAGATTGTCGATATTTGAAAATATTACTGGATAAATCACAGCTTAAGTGTCATTTTTCTAAGAAGGCACGTGAAACAGCTTAACATCAATGTCAATGCCCAATTAAAAAATAGGTACCCGAGATAAATACAATGAATAAAGAAATGAGAGAAACAAGCCAGCACCAGTAGTTGATAAAAAGAAAAGATCAATTGACTATAACGAAAATGATCGCAGAAAGCATAAGCGAACGAATTAGCCTTGTTATATTCGAGATTGAAGACCGATTGTTATAGTGAGATCGAGTCATTGGAAATCATAGATCAGGGTTTGAGGATTCACGGGACTGACCTTGAGAGCCCGGAGGCGAGAGGCCGCGGTTCGGTACATTGTGAATCGGCGATCTCAAAGAAGCCCTAGAGATTAGAATGTACGGACGTTGTGAGGCTAGTTTGGTTTGGATGCCTTTTGGATGGGAGAAACTCGTTTGAGTCGTTGATGGTTTTAACTTTTCTTTTTGTCTCTGCTTCAGGAAGGGTTGATTGGCCGATTAGGTATCCCACACGTGAACAAATAAATAGCTTGCAATCTGAACCGTCTAAATATTATGTGTATGTTTTTAATTCGGATTTTATTTCATCTTAAGTTTCGCCATATATGGCCTAATTTAAATATATTTAAATTAACTATCAATTATAATTCATAGTGGA